ACTACCCCACGAAACCCAAAAAACGTGGCCTCCTAGCCAGCCTTTGGCCTCCCAGCTGAAGATGGTTATCTTCTGCCTTTCGAGTTTTCTAAATGATGTTAACTGGTGAGCTGTTAAAAGGCTATTAGTATGGCTGGTGTCACTTGTCTGTCCTGTACTGCGAACATCAATGCACACTGTAGTCAATTAAGTGCTTGGCGAATAAAAATTTTAAGGAGCCCTAATAAAAATAATCCCATCAATTATGTGTGCTCCATTTAATACAGGGTTGCTTAAAATAAAATTTCCCAAACATATGTTCATTATGGATTGCAGCAGGCTGGGAACCAGTGGTTTTATTTATGCATCTAAAGTCTTACTCCAACTAGGGAAGCAGAAAAATGACAAGTTAGTCGCCAGGAGCTTCTAAAAGCCGCTTTCTGTTGCTTTCAGGCTACAGCCCATTTGCCCCATCGAAGGCCGATTTGGAGCCCGTGGCCAGGCCGAATTCCCTCTCCGCGCCCTGCAGTTTAAACGTGGCCTGCTGCACGAGTTCCGGAAGGGCAACGTTTCCAAGGATCAGGTTCGCCTTCATGACCTGGTCCAGCAGCTCCCCAAGGCCATTATCATTGGGGTGAGGAAAGGGGGCACCAGGGCCCTGCTTGAGATGCTGAACCTCCATCCAGCTGTGGTCAAAGCCTCTCAAGAAATCCACTTTTTTGACAATGATGAGAATTATGCCAAGGGCATTGAGTGGTACAGGAAAAAGATGCCTTTTTCCTACCCACAGCAAATCACAATTGAAAAGAGCCCAGCATATTTTATCACGGAGGAGGTTCCGGAAAGGATTTACAAGATGAACTCATCCATCAAGTTGTTGATCATTGTCAGGGAGCCAACCACAAGAGCTATTTCTGATTACACTCAGGTGCTAGAGGGGAAGGAGAGGAAGAATAAAACTTACTACAAGTTTGAGAAGCTGGCAATAGACCCTAATACCTGCGAAGTGAACACAAAATACAAGGCAGTAAGAACCAGCATCTACACCAAACATCTGGAAAGGTGGTTAAAATACTTTCCGATTGAGCAATTTCACATTGTCGATGGAGATCGCCTCATCACGGAACCTCTGCCAGAACTTCAGCTTGTGGAGAAGTTCCTAAATCTTCCCCCTAGGATAAGTCAGTACAATTTATATTTCAATGCTACCAGAGGGTTTTACTGCTTGCGATTTAACATTATCTTTAATAAGTGCCTGGCGGGCAGCAAGGGGCGCATTCATCCAGAGGTGGACCCCTCTGTCATTACCAAATTGCGCAAATTTTTTCACCCTTTCAATCAAAAATTTTACCAGATCACTGGGAGGACATTGAACTGGCCCTAAAATAATAAGTCATATAACACTATGTGTTGTGGCTGGAGACACACAATGTCTCCTCTAGATTAAAATATGCACTTTTCTTAGACACAACTATCCAAGTCATTTTTCCGTGTGTACTTGTACATACACAGTGTGTGACCAAATATAAGATCAATTCTTTTTCTATTGAAAAGTTACAAAAAAATAATTTGCTGTCCAAGTAGTTGCATCTTTTAAGATATTTACAAAAAGAAAAGGTGGTGGTATTAGGGGAAAGTGACTTCAGCTATTCTCAAAGAGTTTAGTCTTCCTTTGAGTCAGAATTTGTCGCCCGCCATTTTCATAGAGTTAAGCCAAAAGATGATGTGTGAAAACGTACCAATGGCTGTGAAGCTTCAGGAAGTAGAAGATGCAGTTATGCATTCTTTTCTAAGGGAAAGCTGGCTCTTTAATTCAGCTCCTGAATTGGTGCCGTGGAAACAGAAAATACTATTTTCTTATTATTCGAAAGAATGTCGTATCTCATAAAATTGACATTGTTCCGAAGTTCCTGTGGTGATTTTGCACTATTGTTTTCTCATATAGACCATGGTGTTACTTGTAGCATGTCAATCACACATTGGAAAATTAAAGTCCTTTTACTTCCATGTTCTGTGTCAACAAAGAGAAATGTCATGTACATAATGTATATTGTTGTAAATACTGGTTTCACACTAAGTAATTCTATTTTGTAAACTGAATATGGCTATTTAATTTATTGTGAAAATTAAATTTATTGTGGTATTTAAAAGTGGAATGGATTAAAATTACTCTCTGTGCAACCTTTTTTTTTTTTTTTTTTTACTCATTTTGTTTTACACACCCCCTGCTGGCTCCCCAAATCGAAGCTGTTTATGTGCATATGAGCGCGCTTGGAAAGAGGCGCTTCCCGGTTGGATTTCTGTACCCTTGTGAAAATGTTTTTATGAAGTGAGGTTGAGTATATTAAAAAAAAAAAAAATCTCAGCCATCTGGAAATCTAGTAATAGAGCCACCTCAAAGAATACTAGTTTTTCTGCTACAACTTTGTAACAATTAATTTACATGCAGTTTCTGCTGTGTCAGGAGAGAGACAGAAATACTTTAACATAATCAAGGCATAGAAGAATCAGTTTTATTTGAACCTCTAATCAGAGTCAGACCAGTCGAGAAATTAAATAAAATAAGATTAGGAAACGTGTGTGGCCTCTGTACTGAAAGCGGCTGATGCTTCAAAAATGAATACAAACTCCCAGAACTGCTTCTTTGAGATGAAAAAAAAAAAAAAAATCAGTCTGCTCAGAAATGATCAAATGCGTAGTGCTGCTATTACTAACCTAAACATATGGCTCATATTTCCATCCAGAGAAATTAATGCTAAATTGGGTGAGTGCTAACATCAGATACACTGTATCAGGCTTAATATAATTCAGAAAACCGTGGAAAGAGGTGTCAACAGCAGCAACAAAAAGAGGGATTTTTCGCAGTCATGGCTGCCTATCCAGTAGAAAATGTTTGAGGGAGTTTTGCTCAACATCACACTGAGAGTGCCTAGAGAAATCAGCAAATTACAGTGGGTTCCCTTTTGATTGTAGTAAGTGTTGACTTTCCCCATGAGTTGTTTCTCCTGTCCAGTGATTTGATGGTGAACTTCTCTAAATAAATAGCCCTTTCCCCTCTGGTTCGGTATATATCCCTTCTCAAGTGACACAGCCTTAGTGATCATCTCTCCCGTTTCAGTTAGCAGCGATGCCGTTCTCTAAGCATGGGATAGGCATGATGGCAGCACACGGTGACAGGCCAGCTCCTCACCTATCGTGCAGTGACCCTGGAGAGAGTGTCTCGGGTCTAGATGCCAGTCCCTTCTCCCGTAAGCCATGAATGAAATCAAACATAATGAATGTAGCATTAGATTTCCTTGTGCCTCAACTGTCAGCCAGCCACTAAACTCTGAATACTGCGTCCAAGGTCATAATCACATGCTGTCATCAACTCTAGAGCACTATGCGGCTGATACAGTTTTATACCAGTGACTGTGAAATTATGCCCCACTGGAATACGGATGTTTCCGAAAGTCAGCCTGGGTATTCCACCAATAAAACTGAAAAATGACAGTCTTTTGCTAGACAACTAGAGAAGTTTTTCTAAAACAATGAATAGAAATTTATCAGTGATCATCTTTTATATTCTAAATTTTTCTTAAATTTTGCTGCTGCTACCAACAATATAGATCTCAGAGTTTATTCAAAGATTCTGTTTGACTTATACTGACTTTTCTAATTGGTTATTTGGGGCTCAGGAAGCCAGTATTTTTTCATCACGCTCGGAAAAAAAGCTCTGTGATTTCCAATAGTTCTGCTTCCTGAATAAGTTTGAGAATTGCTTTAAACCTTGGAGCCTCCCCACAGGGACCTAAAGCAGAAGGCCTGGCCTGGGAGGATGCTTTGGAGGCAGGTTTCACCGCACTGACAAAAAAAAAAAAAAAAAAAGCCATGGCCGCTGTTGATTGAGCAATGTAGAGAGAAGTAAAAATCCTATAACTTAATAGCGTACCTCCACTGGAGGTTTTAAACCTCCTTGTTTAGAAAAACGTGTCCTGTTGTCATCAAACAGGCAACAGATCTCTAGAGAAATCCTCAGCTCATTACGTTAGCTCTACCAGGGCTCTCGTGAATAAGTTATTCCTTTTACATTATGAAATCTCTGCATTCTTCCCGGAGGCTTGGTGGCACCATACGGCTTTGTGAAACAGTTCTAACTGCAAAGAGAAAAAAAAATTTAAGCAGTGGTGAAGTTGCTGCTGAACCAAAAAAGCTGAAATGACACCGGTGATTTTGGAAGCCAAGGAATGCTGATTATAATGTACACAAACAGGAACAAGAGTCCTGAGGGGTCAGAGAAAAAAGAGACCTACAAACCCAGAGACACACATCCCCAGTTCCAAGTCCATCCCCTACTCAACCTGAAATCACCTCACAGAAGACCTCAGTTGATGAAAGCCTCACTTTTCCTACTAACTTCACTGCCGTATAGGAAACATCTAAGACATTAGGGTCCTTACTCACGTATGAGAAAGCAAAGGCATGTGAACCATCATAATCACATCTGATCTTAGATTTGGCACCTTTTATGTGGAGGGACCAGCAAGAACCATCACTAATTGCCACTAAGGCTGACGGCCTTACAAGAGCACTGTTTGGGTGCCGCGCCTGGTAGAAGCGCCCTGTGAGGAGCAATACGTGGGACACGGGAGGCATGTTGCTGCTAAGGGGAAGTAGGAACCCAGGACAAGGAAAGTCCAAATACCAGCCCCGCCAATAAGCTTTTGCTTTCTCCAATTAGCAGTTAGCTAAATTGGATTGCCTTCATAAGCCTAATTTGAGAATTTTCTAGGGATGGAGAATTTCAAATGATCGTAAATAGTGTCTTCCTGCTGAAGTCTTTTGTACTTTTTGGCACACTCAGCAGCCATTCTCCACTCAGGAGAACAGTCTACAGTGTAAGCAAAAAAAGAAAACTTCACCAAAAACATTCCCCCTAAAAATGACTAAATATGGCAAAATCTTAGCAATTTGGGCTAACAAGGTGAAAATATAGAATGTCTTCAAGCAAACTCATTGCAATTATTCCCAAGTGGATAAGGTGCAAAACTGTACTAACAATATACTGAAAAATACCTAACTGCATCTGCTTTATGAAATAAAAGCCTCTTAATTGGCATAATTTTTTTTTCCAAATTGGTGTTACTCAAGTATTTCAAAACAGTCTGTTCTCTTAAGCAGGTTCCTCAGGCCCCCTAGCATCTGTTTATCAATTTTCATAGGAAGCCTTTCCTTTAGAGCGAGGCCAAGGATGAAATTTAGGCCCAAACAGGATCATTCGGTAAGGTTCTAATGCAGGTGCCTTATTACACATGTTACAAATACAAATGCAAATGCACTTTCAAAGATTTCTTTCCAATTACATTGTTTGTACTTTTGAGGAATAAGAGTGCTATTTCATAATGATTCAGAATGGGGTGGGGAGTTGAAGAGGCAGAACTGAACGGACAGCAATAGGCGTTCCCATAGAAAGCCCCTGACTGGGAGCCCAAGAACAAGTGTCTCTTCTCCAAAGGCAGCTCGGTTGAGAAGAAATACTCCATCAGGCACAGCACGTAGGCAGCAGCAGGCTTGGTGCCTGATGGGCCAACTTCTCTCCCTTCGGAGTCTGTGAACCGCGTCTGTCTACCAGGGCTTGGGAGCTGTTGGTGAAAGGGCTATTGTTTCCAAACATACATGCCGCCCCCCCCTTTAAAAGCAGTCCAGCACGAGGGTCAGGGGTTCCCCGTAGATTGCTAACTCTACAAAGAGCCTCCACCGTTTCTGAATGCACAGAATTCGGCTTCACACGTCCTTTTCAGAGGGATGCGGCGTTGCTGGCTTTGACGACCGACGGCGGGAGCCATGAGCCGAGGAAGGCGGGCAGCCTGTAGAAGCTCCAAAAGGCAAGGAAATGGATTTCCCCTAGACCCTCCAGAAGGGAACACCTGTCAACACCTGAACTTTAGCCCAACGGAACTTGTGCTGGATTGCTAAACCTACAGAAATGTGAGAACAAGTTTGTATCGTTTTCAACCACGGACCTGCGGTAATTTGGTACAGCGGCCGTGGAAAACAACTCCAAGAAATACGGAGAAACAGAGTGCTCGCCAAGTGCTGGCGTGTTTAATCAGCTGATGCTGATCATCTTCACAGGGTGATGGGGCAGCAGGCATCGGTCGCAAAGGGCCTTTCCAAACAAAGCAAGCGGCAGACCTGAAGGACAGGGGTAGGTTCCCGAAGGCGAATGCAGGCAGAGTGACCCTCGAGGTGACACTTCCCTGGTGATAAAAACCAGAGCAAGTCTCATTTCTTCTGGGACACTTCAAGGGGTAAAAAAAACCCAAAAAACAAAAAACAAAACAGTTTAATGGTAACTTGTAGAGAAGTTTATGACAAGGTATAGATCATGTAACGTTTTTTAATATCTTTAACATTAAGGTTTGTACGCTAAAAAGAGAAAATATTTCCGGTCTTTTTACAAGTCCATAGAATCTAGCCTTGATCCAGAATATCTGAAGTCTCCAAAGATCAGAGCCAGGAGAGTTGGTCTTTTTCAAATTGGTCCCAGGCCATTTTGAGGTCCAAATGGCCTCAAAAATTGTTCTGTAAGGAAAACAGAGACCTGAGATTCTTTCTCCTGGGATTAATGAGATTCAGAGGCACTTATTGATCACCTAGGATGTTCCCAGGTTCTGAAAGATCTAGCAAACCATTACTAAAGGTCACTAGAAAAAGCCAGCGTTAGAGGTGTGACCAGAATGCAGCCCTCCAGAATTCCAGCCCAGGGCTGCTTGTCAAGAAGTCTCTAAATGGTTCTCTTTATTATTTATGTCTGCCTACTTCCTAAAAGGATTTGAGGTGGTGATTTTCTAATTAAAATTTGTTTCTAATCTCTTTCTAATCTTGTTTTATTGGCTGCATTTCAACCCTCTTGTACTTAATCAACCTTGAATAGTAACGTGTATTGAGTCTGTATAAAAATATGAATTAGCATTAAAATTAAAATGTACACACATTTAGTACACATGTAATATGTATGGGCATATTTGTATTTGTAAGCCTGTTGAAAGAAGCTAGTGATAATGGTTCATTATGGGACTAATCAAAACCATTCTTTTGTTAGCGATTACCTATCAAATTTGCACAGCTGCCTTTTAAGAATTCCATTCCAAAAGTGTCACAGTCCAGCCAAACAAAGTGAATATACGTAAAGAAAAGAAAAACTCAATAAATTAATATTTCACATCAACTGATCTGGAAACAAATACTTTGATAAAAGAATACAACTTGCCTAATTAAAGTGTCGATACCTCGAATGTAAGAAGTTTTAATGGTAGAAAGACATATGTCTTGCTGATTCGAGGCGGGTGCTCACACAGGAAGTATTATTCATGCCACCACTCTGTGCATGTGCATGGACACATGTGTGCATGGGTGCGATTCTCAGCGATTCTGGAACAGTGTCTCATCCCCATGTGATTATCGCATTACTTTGGCTTGATCACCACCCTGAGTCTTCCTCCTGAACTGTATCAAGTTTCTCTGAAAGCACAATTAAATTTAAAGATAAATTTAAGAACAACATGTTTACTTGGCATTATTATCTGTAGCTGTTGTGTTTGAGGCACTAATGTAAAAATAGTGTGAAATTCGTAGGGACACAGACCCATGCCTCAAGCTCTGAGAACATGGAATTGATAATTCCCTCTGGGCTCCTGAAATGTCTTTGGGAACTCTATGCTAAAGGTTCAGACAGCACTAAAAACAAACGGTATTTGAGGTGAGTGGTCAGAATCACAAGGACAGAATGGGCGCCAGTGCTTTTCAACTGCAGCCCCATCATGGGAAAGACTACAAAGGGAGTAGACACCCACCGAGTGTTATCTGTATTTATACACACAGACTAACCAGCTGAATTCAGCCACACAAACCCTTATTTTGAACAGTGTGTTAAATTGGCCAAATTATTGGTGACTAGGGGATCATCTTCAAAAAAGTCACTTTAATCTTTTCAAGTTCTCCTTCAAACAATGTCTTTGAAATATTTAGAGAAATAACTTAAAAATTCATTATATGGGGCCCCCCGGGTGGCTGTCAGTTAAGTGTCTGCCTTCGGCTCAGGTCATGATCCCAGAGTCCTGGGATTGAGCCCCGCATCTGGCTCCCTGCTCAGTGCAGAGCCTGCTTCTCCCTCTGCCTGCACAAGCCGCTCCCCCTGCTTGTGCTCTCTCTCTCCCCCACCCCTCTCTGACAAATAAGTAAATAAAATCTTTAAAAAAATGTTCTTAATTATTTATGTGAAATTAATTATTTTTCAATCTCTTTGGCTGGCTCGTGCCCCCCATGGGTCCCAGCCTCTGCAGCGTGCTCTCAGAG